AGTGGTTGTTTTAGACACTTTTGTCCAGTTTTAGAGTTGTCTTGGGGAATAGGATTTAGTGTTCTCTTTACACTGTCATACCCAAAGTCCTAAATAAGGACAATTCTCAACCACTGTTACCATCTTATCAAATATTTCCACTTCCACGTTCTGCTTCTGGGGCATCTATTAGCTGTCCGTGAGATCTTATTATTTTCCATAAACTTTTTGGAATCTGAGTGCAGCTTAGCTGGGTGCCACCTGAGTTAGATGTTTCACAAGGCTGTAATGAAGGTATCTGCATCACAAGTGGGTCACTAGATCCACTGCCATATTTGCTCAGGTGGCTTTTGGCAACCCTAAGTTTCAGATGCTTGCTGGCTATTGGTCATAGACATCAGCTCCTGGCCACGTGGGACTCATCGTAGAGTTAATCACATGGCAGGGTGCTTTCCCAAGAGTGAGAACTCCGAGAGAGAGAGAGAGAGAGAGAGAGAGAGAGAGAGAGAGAGAGAGAGAACGTGTCTAAGTCTTTTTGTAACCTAAGTCTGAAATGCCATTCCATTGCATCCGCCTTATTCTATTCTTGAGAAATGGGCCAGTCCACATTACAGAGGAAGGGATCACTCGGGCTGTGAATGGCAAGAGATGTAGGTCATTAGGACCCATCTTAGAGCCTGTCTGTCACAGAGCCCAGTGGAAGCCCGCCTTTCGTGGAGCTTGGTCTTTAAGACTCCTGAACAGCCTGCGTTAGGAGTAAGTTCCCCAGGAAAGATTTCCAATTGCTGCCATTAGGAAGATTCCTGATCTAGGACCATTTGAAGTTAATTTTTGATTTGGAGGTCTTGCTCATGCAGGCTGTACAAATTGGCCCTGTGCCAATTTGTGGTGACATATTCTTAGTTTTGCCACGTTCCATCCAGAGCCAAGCGTACAGACCAGCTTCTGTGTCATGAATCTGTGCTGATGATGGAATTTTTTTTTCTAGTTTACCTTTTCACCAAAGGTTTTCCTTTGCTTGGCTTTATGCAGGCTCTCTTTTCTAATATCCTGCTTCTTGTGGATACAATGCCTTACTCTTGTGTCTGAGGGGGTGTTAAAACCCAAACCTTGTTGTTACTTCGATCAACAACTTCTGCCCCCTCTGCCCACCGTACTTTGCTGCTTGCAGCATTGGCTCACCCAGTTAATATTCTGATTTTCTGTCTCCTTTTTGCTTTTGTCCCCTGGGAACTTCTCTTGCTTCCTTGTGAGCTCAGCTATGCATACAAAACAACGTCTGCTATATTTCATCCAGCGTTGTAAAGCATTTGGGAATGGGAGGGTTTTCAAAATGTTATCTAAACTAAATAGCATATATAAAATACACAGAATGTTGCTTGGCCTCTAATTAGGACGCACCAACTCCAGCATGGACATTTTCAATTTGATCCACACGAGGGATTTTCTTCTAAATATTCTATGATTTTGCAAATGGCTGCTGATTCTGAATTCTGGTTTGGAGAAAGGCTAAGATTCTCATTCCTCAAGGGGAGTTTTTAACAGTACCCTCTTATAAGCAGGGTTTGGGGAAAATATGATAGAAAGAGGTGGGGGATGATAGAATTCACAGTACCATATTATAACTTCATAATTATAATACAGTCATGATGATTTTAGGTGCAATATTCTTTACAGACTTCCTGTGAGTGTGTGTTTCCTTTGGGTCCTTGCCCATGGATGATTATGCAAATGTCCATCCAGTGACATCTACATAATCACCCACGGAGGTGGGTGAATTGCTTCCGGGCTCATTGATAGGAATTGTTACGATCCGTTGTTGAATCCCCAGAAACTCTTCTTGGCCCGTAGAGATAGGGGGTATGTAGCAGTGGAGAGTTGTCGCCTTGGATGGTCATGAGTGGGATTTCAAGAGCATTCGAACCCAGGGAGAAAGAGGTCTCATGAATATTGTGGCTTAAGAATCTCCTGCTACACATAATAGGAGCCCTGGTGACGTCGTGGTTACAGGTTGGGCTGTTGACCACGTGGCTAGCAAGTTGACTCCATCAGCTGCTCCATGGGAGTCATGGGTGACAGTCTCAGAAACCCACAGGGACAGTTCTCCCTTGCCCTATGGGGTCACCATGGGTCCGAATTGACGAGGTGGTAGTGCGTTTGTTTTGGACTACAGGCTAGATGTCATATCTAAGGCTTTCTACCCAGCAGAGTGCTAGGGACCCAGAGATGCAGAGGAAGATTTCATCCACGCTGGGTTTCCAGCTTGAGACCAGAACCCTCACAGCGGGAATGAGAGCATCTCCCCTCTGCTCCAAGTGGGCCCCTCTGGGCTGGATTGGTTCTGGTTGGGAGTAACAGGATGTTGACCCAGATAGAGGAGGGGCTAGATTACTTCTGAGCTGCAGGAAGTACCCTAGCAACTCTTAGTGCCCACTGGTCCTGAGATAGACAGATAGAGGGGTAGACTCACAGGGAGTTGTGGTGAAATCCACAGCGGCTCTAAGAGTAAGGCCTATATGGTCAAATGTGAGAGAACTTGTTTCCACGGAATCCTGGATTGATTTTTTTTTTTAATGGCTTATACTTTCTGTGCCGTCAGAATGAAGTTTCTCCAGCTTTTTTCTGAATGCCTGGAGAGTCTTTTCGAATGATACATTGGAATCTCTGAATATCAACCTTTGACAAAGTTGACTCTGAGCTTTCAAGTAGCCAAAGCAAAGAGCGGCATGTAGTCAGATTCTAGGGGTGGCCTGAATTAACACAGGTTTCACAAGTTCCCTAGGAGATTCTAATGCTCAGGTGGCCCGACATGGGAGCCGGGCAACTTGGCATTTCATTCTGGTTTCACCGTATACCCGTTGGGCATCCTTGGACAGTTCATCTGTCCTCTCTGACCCTTGGTTCACCCGTCAGGAGAAAGGGATGGAAAGTCTGCTTTCTCCAACGGAGGCGCTAGTGAAATCACGGATGCTTTGGAGGCCAAGTTAAGGGAACCTTGAGCTGCATGTTACACATGGACCAAGCTACTCTTTAGGGCCTCTTTTGATTGCACCGAAATGTGATGCTGAGCATCTTTCCTAAGAAGATGCCACAAGGTGCAGCTTGGGATATTTGCCATTACACCCACTTTGAGGACCTCATCCATTGGCCTCAATGTAATCATTCACTGGGGTGGGGGTAGGGTTTCTTTGGGAGGCAGCGACAGGAGCCCCTGTGGTTCTCATGAATGAGGGCCTACTGTGCTACGCACCTCTTACTTCCTATGTGTTTCTTTAAGTCCTCTCAATAGCCCTAGCATCTTGGCCCCGTTACTTACCACTCCCACTTTGCGGGTGAGTAAACCGGAGTACACAAATGCTAAATGGCTTCCCAAGGCCATACCACTGCTAGGAAGTGGCAGCGCCAGCTGGTTCTCCCTCCACAACCTGTGCAGGCCATCACCAAGGATACCACGCATTGCTTCGGCTGTTCAGAAGCCCAGGGTCAAATATGCACCTATCTAAAGCAATGCACAGGACCTGGTTGCCTGTGCCCGTGGGTACAGAGCTTACTTCTGGCATCATCTTCCTTTCGCCCTTTGGGCCCATTCTTTCACATTGGTAAATGTAGTCTAAGGGCAGTGTTGTGCAACATGGAACCATGAGCAAAATTTTGTTTTTTTTCTTAAAAAAAAAAAAAGATTCTAGGAGGCCAGGAAATGTTTTATGGACAACCAGGGACACAGCTGTGAGAGGGGAGCACACAGGACCACAAACTAAAACCCAATAGCCAGCAGGGGCCCTTTGGGCCAGAAACACTGTATCCTGGGATTCTCACAGTCCCCCTGCCCCCCAGCAGATACACAAGACTGGGCATCCAGGGGAGGGGACAGTGGCTCTGGGGTCCCAGAGAATGAGAGGATCTATGGCGACGAGTGACAGGGTAAGAGGGTCCATCACTGCCTAAGACGACCACCTCTTCCTCTCAGAGCCAACACCAGGTGGAGGACTGGCCACCTACGATCTTGTCATCCGCTGCTGTCTTGTCGTCATTCATCTGTTTGCCACTGGAGATGAGGCGCTGTTGCTGTGGGGGGATTCCCTCTTTCTCTTCCACACGCTCCTTCATTCGCTCCACCTTGTGCGTGGGTTCAATGTCAATTTCGATCTCCTTTCCGGTCAGCGTCTTCACTTTAATTAGCACCTTCTTCCCAGTTTGGGGCTGCACACGGATACACTGCTGTTTCTACTGCTGAGCTCGCTGCTGCCGTGTCCCAGCATTCCGCCTGCGGAAAACCACATCTGCTTCCGGGTGACCCTGTTTTGTTTCTTTATTACTGGTTTTTATTTTTATTTTTTTTTAACACCACGGGTCACAAAGTATCGGAAACAAAACCAAAACGGCACCTGGCAATGACTGAGCTTTTCTTGGATGCTGAAAGTAAGGGAGGAATGAGTAGGCCAAGTCTGGACGGGGTTCCTGGGCAGAGGGCAGGGGACAGCTTGGAACATTCTGAGCTTCATAATTTTTGCTCCATCCCTTACCCACGGATTTCCATCCTGCCACTCGGAATGTATCTGTATAGGATGCTTTCGGTCACTCTTAGAGTTATCCCCTATCCTTCGTGTCTGGGCAGGAGGGCTGATGTCAGGTGCCCTGTTCCAAGGGGCTAGGACTAGGTAGAGGGAGGAAGATGGCGTGGAGACACCTGGGAAATGCACAGGCGGGGTGGTTGTTCTGTGTCGTCAAGTCAGTTCCAACTCGCACCAACAGAGTAGACCTGCCCCCGGGGTGTTTCTCAGCTGCAGTCCTTGCCCAGGCTGAGCTTCAGGGCTCAAACTGCCCACCTCTCCTTTAGCTGTCCGGCACTTGGCCATCTGTGGCTCTAAGTATCAGGTGCCCCAGAGGTGGGGTGAGGGTATTTCAATGAAGGATGGAGCCGGGGAGCAGCACAGGGCAGAGGGACCTGCTATTTCTTTGCCTCTGCTCTCCGGTCAGAGCCCAAGTCCCCTTCATAACTGTCCTCTGGCCCTTGTCACCAGCTCAGCGAGGAGCTGAACCAGCAGCTGGAGGCCGTGTGCGGGTCCGTGTTTGGGGAACTCGAGTCCCAGGCGGTGGACGCCCTGGACCTGCCCGGCTGTTTCCGCATGCGCAGCCACAGCTACCTCCGGGCCATCCAGGCCGGCTGCTCGCAAGACGACGACTGCCTGCCCCTCCTTGCTGCCCCCGCCACTGTCTCAGGGAGGCCCGGCTCCTGTAAGTCCGCACCCCCTGCCTCTGGCCTGGCCCTGGGCGAGCAAGGCTGCCCTGTGGGTTCCGGTTCGGGCCCCGGCCACAGCTGTGCTGTGTGACGTTGCGCAGGCCGCTGGCCTCTCCTGGCCTGGTGACTGGAAGAACAAGTCTGGGCCCTGCACGTGGCAGCAGCAGTGGCCTTCGTAGGATACGTGGCTGCGGGGTTGTGGGACCGCGCCTGGGTGGGTTGGTGGACCGGGGACGACGGCAAAAATCGCTTCTCTCCTTTGCTGTCTCCACTTCGCCTGGCCACAGCCTTCAACTTCAGAAAGGCCCCGCCCCCCATCCCGCCGGGAAGCCAGGCCCCGCCCCGCATCTCCATCACCGCCCAGAGCAGCACCGACTCCGCCCACGAGAGCTTCACCGCCGCCGAGGGGCCCGCCCGGCGCTGCAGCTCGGCCGATGGGTTGGACGGCCCCGCCATGGGCGCGCGCACGCTGGAGCTGGCGCCGGTCCCACCCCGGGCCAGCCCCAAGCCCCCCACCCTCATCATCAAGACCATCCCTGGCAGGGAGGAGCTGCGGAGCCTGGCGCGGCAGCGGAAGTGGCGGCCGTCTATTGGGGTGCAGGTAAGGGAAGCTCTGGCCCTGGCCCTTTGGGGATAGTTTAGGGGTGTTTGTCGAGGGGACCTTTGGGATAGCTAAACCTTCTCCAGGGTTTGCTTTGAGAGCTGCAGGTGCACCCGGTGACAGGTCCACACCCGGACTGCTCCCACCAGTTCCATTCCCCCTCATTGTCCATTATCCCATCACCACCACCCCTCTCAGTGCTCTCGTGGTGCCGCCTTTACTGCCCCTGATCGCCTGGGTCTCTCATCTCACTCATCTGCCAGTTGGCTTAGGGCTCATCCATTGCTGGCCCTTCTCCCTGGGAAGGTTTGCAGGGCAGGTAGGGCCACCTGGACCACACCAGCCATGGACATAGCCACCTTTCCACCAGGTGGAGACTATCTCGGACTCAGACACGGAGAACAGGAGCCGAAGAGAGTTCCACTCCATCGGCGTGCAGGTGGAAGAGGACAAGAGGTAAGTCAGAGTGGGCACACCCCATGGTTCCTTGTGGAAGAACTGGTAGTGCTGTAGGGTAAGTGTTAGGCTGCTAAACCCAAGGTTGGTGGTTCAAAACCACCAGCCACTCCAAGGGAGAAAGATGAGGCTGTCTGCTCCCAGAAAGATTTACAACCTCTAGGTGGGAAAAATTAACCCTGTAGGTGTATAGTGATACACTGAGCTGCAATCTCCATGGCCAGCAGTTTGAAACCACCAGCTGCTCCGAGGAAGAAAGACCGGGCTTTCTTCTCCTATAACCAGTTGTGGTCTCAGAAACCCACAGGGGTCGCTGTGAGTCAACATTGACTATGGCAGTGAACTTGCTTTTGGGGTTTAATCTTATATAGAGTCACTATGAGTCAGAATTGGCTTGACTGCGGTGGGTTTGGGTTTGAGTTTGGGTTTGGGTGGGGAAGAGGAAAGAGAGGCCTTCACAAGCCCTATTGCACATTCTTCTGCAAAGGGAGACCCAGGCTTTTTACTAGGGAGGAGTCAGAGTAGCCATAGAGGCTATCCACAGAGGTGGCATCAGGGCAGTAGAGAGTCCTTGTATCCAGGCCCGTCCCAGGTGCTCTTAGGCAGACACACCAGGTTGGAAATACATAGGATGCTGTGGAAGGGCCAAATATCCTGGAGGGGCCTACACGGTTTGTTTTCAACCACTATCTGAAAGGTTGGCAGATCAAGGCTGTCCAGAAGTGACGCAGAAGAAATGCCTGGCGGTCTGCTTCCATAAGGATCAGAGTCAAGAAACCCGTGTGGCGTGCTCATGTGTGGGTCCCCGTGAATCAGAATCGACTTGATGGCCTTGCATTTTTTTGTTGTTGGTTGGTATGTTCGTGTGGGGAGGTGAGGGCCAGGCATGCTGAACAGGCCTCCAAAAATTGTCCTTTTTAGGATTCTCCTGACCCCCTGTTGGACAATGTGCTGCACGAGTGTGTGAGCTCAACAACAGCAATTTAAAATAACAACGAAAAGAAAATCAGCATGGAGATTGCCTTTCAAGGGCCCCTGGCAGATATAACACATCTCCTCACTTGGCTCACACGAGCACTGAAGCATTCGGGGCACCTGTTAGATGCGGTAGCCTGTGGTGTACCAGCGACGGCAGTCACCATGCTGGCTTGAGGTGGCCTCGGAAACATAGCTTCTGTCATTTCAGATGGAAAAGTTAGCCCTGGAAGCTCTAGCTCCAACACTAGGAAGCACTCCTCTGTTGTTGAGCTCCGGGGGGAAGGCACGTTCTCTACTGGCCACATGGCAGTACCAGAGTGGCCCATCTGTTTTTCAGGCTGTGATGCCAGCAGGCCAGTGTGACCTTAGGTATACTGTCTGAGAACCGGCCTGGGGCTAGCAAGAAGGGGCCAAGGTATTCTTTTTCCCAGGCCAAGTCCACTAGAGAAATAAAACAGAAGTCATAGGAGCAGCCCCAGCAGCTGTTCCCAGTTGCTATTATTGGACCCCAAGCTTCTCCCGACTATTTTTGGGAACCTTGGGGATGTGCCTGCTTGCATCTTGTTGTAGTTCCTGTGAGGATTCGCCATTTTTCTCCATTGCTGCTTTGGCTCCTCACAGTTTCATCCATTCCTGGGGCTGCAAATGCTTTCATGGAGAGTGATCGAGGGCTGCCCTTGTGGTCCTCCCCAGGCTTGGACTGCCATTCCTTTAAACCTTACAGAGACCACAGAAAAGCCATATTTTATTGGCAAACACAATAAAATATTGTGTTAAGCTTGCTACTTAACACCTGAGCGGTGGGATGGGAGTTATGGCTGGCTGCAGGTCTGTGCTAAGCAGCCTGTCCCCAGCCTCCAGCTGCCAGATGGAGCAAGCCCATGTGCTCCTCTTGCTTCCTCCGGAGACTTCTTGGTCCCTCGTCCAGATAGGCGCCTAGGGTTCCCCCACCCTCTTGACAAGCCTGAATGCTGGGAAGAGTGCAGCTGGCATCTAGCTGAGACCCCTGCTAAATCAGCAAATTCTGCCATCCAGTCCGGCCGGGAATATTTATTAAGCATCTGGCATTTATTAATTGGCTTTCAAAGCATATGGAAGATCTCATGCATTGTTTCAAGTGCATCAGATACATGCATTTTGTCCTCTTAGAATTTATGGTCTAGAGGGAAATCGAGGTTATGAATAAATAATCCATAAATAAAAATATATTTACACTAATAAAATCCAAGATCAGAGGAGAGAGTTGTATCAGCACGTAAGTTCTAAGCACATGGTTTGCAGAAGGCTATAGATGACAGTGAGAGACTAACCTCCATTTGAGAGTCCTCACGTGGAGTACGTCTCCATTGAATTACTTTAGACCATTGACCAGCGATGTGAATCCTCTTGCTCTGAGGCAGTGTGTATTGGAAAGTGGATTACTGAAGATATCGTTAAGTTAAAAGTTAACACATCATTTGTTTTACTTTTTGAACCATTTAAAATTGTTATAGTTTTTATTTTCTGCTTTCTCTGAGTTATCTTGGTGGCATTGTGGGTTGCGAGTTGGGCTGCTAACCACAAAGTCAGCAGTTCAAACCCACCAGCCTCTCCTTGGGAGAAAGATGAAGCTTCCTCCTCCTGTGAAGAGTTGCAGTATTAGAAACCCACAGTTATACCCTACCCTGTATGGTCGCTGTGAGTCAGAATTGACTTGGTGGCAGTGCGTTTGGTTTTTGTGCTTTCTCGTGGATTGCGGTTCTCTTGTGCTTTACTTTGTTGCTTTGCTTGGCAAGGCTTTTGGTATGATTTGCTTCACATGAAATCCAGGGTAGGGAAAGGTGTAGAGATGTAACTAGATTAAAAGCTCCTTAGGGGTATGGCAGAGGAGATTGAGGGGTAACAGGGAGCTAATGGATAGAAGAATGAAGAAAATATTCTAAAATTGATTGTGGTGATGAATGCACCATTCTTTTTAATATATTTAAATCATTGAAATGTGTGGTATGTAAATTACATGTCATTAAAACGGTATATTTACATATTGTAGACGATATGTGATGGAATATTATTTACACTGTGGTTGGAAGGTGCAAGAAATAAAGAAGATGCTGAGAGGGAAGGAAGGCGTGCTGGCGGCCTGGTGGGTTACTCCCTGGGCTGCCAACTGCAGTGTCAGCAGTTTGAAACTACCAGCTGCTCTGCTGAAGGAGAGGAGGTGCTTTCCTCCGGTCAAGTTTACAGTCTCTGAAGCCCACCAGGCCACTTTACCCTGTCCTGTGCGGTTGCAGCGAGCTGAAATGGAGTCCATGCCAGTGAGTGAGTGGAGAGAGAAGGGGCTTGCTTTAGACGAAGTGGCATTCAAGCTGAGACTTGAAGAAGGGCTCGCGCACTCAGAACGTGTTTGGGGGGAAGTGTCCCGGGGAAGGACAGGGGGAGCATCAGGCAGGGATGTGCTCATGTGATGAATGCTCCTGAGAGCTCGTTGAGGCGACCTCGCTAATACGTCAGACTCATGGACTGTATTTCTCAAATGTTTATCTTTAATGATTGTTTTGGATGTGTGGTCTACCGGCTCTGAGAGAGGTGTGTTAAAAACGTCTCAACAGGATGGTGGATGTGTCCTTTTCCCTGGTAATTTTATTAATTTTCACTTTCGCCTGGAGGATGTGTTGCTGAGAAGCAGTCAGGCTTGAGATTGCTGTACCTTCTCGTGGGGTTGGCTCTTTCATCACGGAGCAGGGGGCTTCCCATCTCTGCTAATGATTTCTGCTTTCAGCCTGTTATTGCTACGACTGCTTTCTTCTGGTTCCTTTTCCCAATATGTCCCTCTATTTTCAATGTTCCTCTATCCTTATGTTTGAGATACATTGCTTGTAAGCAGTATGGAGCTACAGATTTATTCCATTTGTATGTTTTCTGATTAACGATCCACTTAGACTTATTTCTATCATTTCTCTCAAGATGTTCTGTTTGACATGATTTGTCTACCTTCTTTGATGGTTCAATATTTTAGATTTACAAACATGTTTTAACTATTTTTGTTTTCTCTATTGCTTGTTACTGCTCACTTTTTTCTCTTGGGTTCAATTTCCTTCAGGCTGAAGTACTGCTCAAGCTTGGGACCAGTTTTCCAGGGAAAGCTCCACTTGCGGTTTCCGCATTTCCCTGGCAGTTCTCATGGAATGCCGCATCTCCACACCAAACATCCATCATGTTCTGATTTCTCAGCATCCTACTTCCAGGCCCCAATCCTGAGTCAGAGGCAAGGGTTTTTCTAGCCGGAGTTTGTAGATGAGACGGCCATTCTGGGCAGCTTGCTCTCGGCAGCGGTCTGGTTCCAGTGCCTTATGCTGCACAGGCTAGAGCCCTCTGCGCTCCTCCTCCCTCAGCATGACTATCCAGACTCTAGCATATGTCGGGTCCACTCTTCCTGTGGACACTTGGCTCAGACTTCCTCTCACAGCTTAGGTTTTTGATTTCCTCTTGGTTTCTGACACCTAAGTGTTCCTCTTTCCCAGGTTCAAATGTGGCATTGTCATGGTAAGACCTTTTGATTTGTATTCCATCCAGGATTTCTCTGGATTTGGGGCATGGGTGGGAACTGCTGAAGTTGGTTCACTTCATGCTATTGATCAGCTGTCTGACTTGGCTGTTCGTGTCAGAGAGAGAGAGAGAGAGAGAGAGAGAGAGAGAGAGAAAGTGCACCAATGCATGAAGCATTCGGGAGTGCAAGTCCGGGCGGGGCAAGGAAAGGCCGACATGTGGTCTTTCTTGTTCTGGTTTCAGTGCTAGCGGAGGTCTTGGCAGTGTGGAGGCACGTGGGGGGTGAGGGCGAAGAGGTGTTCAATGTAAGAAAAAACCAATTGCCTCGGACAGGTTATAGCGGGGATTCAGGAGGACTGACAGGTGGGGAGAGGAGAACTCTGGCACTTGTCTCTGGCACTCTCTCCCTTGTCAGCTATAGGCATCCTTAGTCGTGCACCTGCACCTGCCTTTCTGTCCCTTCTGTCCCTGGCACGGTAAGTCTGACTCACCCCACA